TGCAGAATTGAAGGATCCAGATCTTTGGCAACTCGAACCTATCATGACGCCTGAGTATTACATATTCTCTAACGAAAGTGAGAATTTATCAATGAAGGATATTGTCAACAAATTCCTGTTACTCCGTGATCAAAAGGAGGACTTTAATAATTGCACTTGTCTGCAGACTGGAAACAAGGCGAGTGCTTCCACGTACGGACAAGGTCTCGATCTTCGATGATCTATATTGAAGTGAGATCTTCACCAAGAATATGGATCTAGGCAGCAAGATTCAGCAATGATGTGGGGCAATTCCTAATTGCCAATGGAACCGCCCCAAAGTTGACTGAAGCCAGGACGCTTACCTTGGAAGCCTCTATCCCAAGTGTAGTACCGTCAAACACCTGCAAGAAAAAATGTCATCAATGGTAGCAAAACCTTCCGCTCAATCATTACTGGGCATCTACCGAAGGATACAGTAAGCCATTGTGACGAACCGAGCAGTTGGGATAACAACAGCAACTACATACAATCGGACGACCATAAAAAAATCGTAACAGGCTGCTGACGCCTCGTTACACCCGATTGAAACCCATGACTCCGGAAATAGCAAAAAATCGCTCTTACCATCCCGGAATGTCATTTTGCAAACATCGTTGGATTGAAGAAATCGCAAACGCCCAATGCGGATAATTCAGCACAATCTTCGTTGCACCTCGCTTCATTTATAATGACAGAAGAGACTTTTTCCAACGAGATAATGGAATTCACAATTGGCTATGTGTTGACATCAGCATACCGGCCCCAAACAAACGGATCTAATACATAATAGAATCTGCTTTTAATACATCGATGCACGAAATAAGAACTTCGATCGATTATATTGTACGAAGCAATGTTTGTGCCACTTACGATTTAAAAATCCACGCCATTATCACACAACGACTTCCCCTGACATACCCAACTTGCGTACATTTCATAAAAAAAATCAGACGATTAATACAGAAAAATCTAGAGAGTAGAAAATCTGGTTTTAGAACAAAATTATGGCAATGGGAACAAAGTAACGTTTGAGGCGACCGATTGCGTATACGTGCTAAAAGAACCACGTACAGGGAAACTTGATGCCCATTACGTAATGCCTTTAACAGCTTGTAAATAAACGAACAAAAGAATGCGATCCTCATATCTTAATCTGGTGAGAATTTGCAGAGCATGTAGAACAAGCTAAAACTCTGGAATCCTTTCGAATCGAATCACGTGCATTAGTACTACGAGGTCGAGGTTTTGGTCCGCTAAGTAGTACTGGCCTCGAAACATATTTCACGTCATGCTATGATTGACGACTCGAATCGAAAAATACGCCGTCTCTCGCGAAACTTCTTCGTTATACAGCCAGCATAAAATTAGTTAAAAAAATGGGTTTATATGGATTTCAAGAAACGAAATTCAGAAAAAATTCCACCCACACGTTAAAAATGTACTTTACATTGCCGCGGCGCTGTCAGTTATTATTTACACACAACTTGGTATTGGCATAAG